TAAGTTTCATCAATGCATTGAGGGTACTTCATCTCCAATTAGACAGATGGGAAGTCCTATCGGTTTCATGTAAATCATAAATAGTAAAGAAGTGATATCCCACTTTGGAAGAGCCACCAGTTGAGTTTCTCCTTCCCTGTAACTATTGACTGGATTATGCACTCAGATAGGAATGAAACCACTGAAAAACAGTGCTTGCCTAATCTTTGCAGGCAATCCATAGGATACTATGACCAGTGCTGAATGCCACTGAAAGGTCTAAAAGAACCAAAGAGTATACACATCTCCCATCCTACCCCCAAGGAAGATCACCCATCATAGACTTTGGAGGTAATTTTCAGCAGCAAGCTACTTGTTATCAGAATTTTAGGAGAGCATATATTGTATGATATGTAAGGGACGTGGTGGCACAGTGGCTAAGATGCTGGGCTTGTCAATTGAAAGGTCGGCAGTTCAGCGGTTTGAATCCCTAGTGCCGCATAACAGGATGAGCTCCCATTACTTGTCCCAGCTTCTGCCAACCTAGCAGTTCGAAAGCACATTAAAAATGCAAGTAGAAAAATAGGGACCACCTTTGGTGGGAAGGTAACAGCATTCCGTGTGCCTTTGGCGTTTAGTCATGCCGGCCACATGACCACGGAGACTTCTTCAGACAGTGTTGGCTCTTCGGCTTTGAAACGGAGATGAGCACAGCACATATGTGCGAGGGGAACCTTTACCTTTACCTTTATATTGTATGACAGAGCAACCCTTCTGAGTGCAACTTCTTTTACTTTCTTTTCCTGCCCAGCACAAGGTGGGAAGACTAGATGCAGACAAATAGATCAAGAAGGGAAACAATTGTCATTGATCATTATTCCAAGTGGTCCAAGTGATCATAGGAGAAGATATCTAATTTTCCTACAAAATGTGGAATTGCCAAGTTCAATCCTACCTGGTCCAGGGAAAATTCCCATACAAAGTTTGGCAAAGATCAGAACTGGGGCAAGAAAGTCGCAGTTGATTACCCTAAAAACATTTTATTTTTTCTATTACTTTAATAAAAAAAAGTTGGAAAGGCAGGATCCAACAAGGACTAAGCAGGATCTTAGTGCCTGAGCTACCTACTCCAGCCTTTGTCGAGCAGAAGAAGTCTGGAAATGAGACCTGAAATGGAGAAGAATCTGTTTGGTGAAACTCATTTTCTCTTCTAGATGGACTTCCTCAGGCCAATTGTTCTTCATATTTAACATCCACCCATCTGGTTTCTCCATGTTGTCTAATGGCAGGAAGCATATGGCTCTAAGCATCAAACTTACATTTTTACCACACCTCTAATTATACTACCATATGCTCTATCATTAAATTGTAATTGCAGATATTTTGCATTGTAATGGCAGATATATTTAGAAATACTACCAAGCAATCACATATCAGACTGGTTTACAAGCAGAGAGGGAAGAAGAAAAAAAAAATCTGTCATGTATATTGTACGCTATACCTTCTGCTGATTTGCTTGCTGTAACCTTTTTCACTTGAGGAAGAAGCAAAACTCTGGATATAATTGGAATTAAGACACCTGCTCCTTGGAGTAGAGGTGTCTAACACTAGTATTCATACTAATAGCCTTGGAGATGGTTCTGAAATCTACTCCCTGCAGGCCTGATTTTTTTTTTTTTTGCCTTCCTCATATTTTCAATCTTCTATATCTTCATTTCCAATCTCATGAAAAGAAAAATAATAGAGCTAAACCAGGATGATAACGATTTTTCACACAAAAGTCACAAGTCACCTTGAACTTTAAATTCTCGAGGAATGCAATATATATTTGGAGAACATCTTGCAAATTCAACTACTGCCAATACCAGAACATCCAGACGTTTTCAGACTCGCTGTAATAAGTCAGATAATATTCCCTGTGATAAATGTGCACTGTAGGCATGGGACAACATTTTTTAGAAAAGCTATTAAAAATCCCCATTTGTGCAGCGTGAAAGACCACAATATTTATATTATTTATGGTGACCAAATAAAAGCTCTTTCTTCCTCGCTTAACTCAGGGTGAAGCTCCATCAGTTGATAGTAGTGGTGAGGAAGCGAAACAAGGTTTGCCAAATGTACCTAATTCAGATCTTTTGAAAATAAAGTCAGCCTCCGTATAATGGAGGACACAGTATCATAACCGTTCAAGAATCAGCAAAATGCCAGGATGAAAAAATAATGCAAACAATAATAACACACACCGAGAAAGATACTGTCATTTTACCTGCTTTAGTATATGCATCACAGTCACAATAATATGCTACTCCTTGAAAATTATGAAGCAGTGAGAAGAGTAACTCAGATGTTTAAAGGCCTAGATGCTAACAGTATGAAGAACGGTTGCAGGTATTTGGTATGACTAGTCTAGGACTAGGGAGTGACATGATAGTAATTTTCTAGTGCTTGAGGGGCTGCCACAAGGAACACGGGGTCAATTTATTTTCCAAAGCACCAGAAGACAAGACAAGAAATAATGGATGGAAAACTAATCAAGGAGAGAAGCAACCTGGAATTAAGGAGAAACTTCCTAACAGTGAAAACAATTAACCAGTGGAAAAGAAGTTATGGGTGCTTCATCACTGGAGGTTTTTAAGAAGAGACTGGACAGCCACTTGTCTGAAATGGCATAGGGTCTCCTTTTTGAACAGGAGGTTGGACTAGCTGACCTCAAAGGTCCCTTCCAGCTCTATTATGATTGACTGAAGCTTTTCAACCTATCTTTCTCCATCCCAGGCATGCAAAAAGCGACACAGTCTGTGGTGCAAGCTAAATCCTATTTCATCTAGGCAGGTATTTCTGTCTAGCAGTTTGATAAAAATACGCCTGTTTACATTTAAATTAACAGTAATTATTTATAGTGGCTCCATAAATAATTGTAGTTAATTCACCATCCATCATATAATCCAAATCACAACTACTCTGTGGGGTTGTAAGGTTTATTTTTGTAGCCTGCTGTCGACTCTTTTCTTCTCTTATTGAGTAGTAAATGTGTGAAGTTCTAATCCAGAAATGAATGACTATGGGGGGCTTATGGAGAGAGAGAGAGAGGGAGGGAGACAGAGAGAGAGGGAAGGAGGGAGGGAGAGATTAAAAAAGGAAGACCAGACTTCATTTAGACTATTTTTCTTCTTTTAGTTTTAAGGTTCCCTTGCATGTTTTATAATTAACTTATTTGCAGTTTGACCCTGCATCTGGATTCTAGAGGTTATGAATTCCATTAATTTGCTAATTTGAGCAAATACTGAAATATTCTTGGATCACACAAACGGCATTGCTGTTTGCAAATGCCCTTTGTGTGATCATGACAATTTTCAACTTGTAACTACCAATTAAGTAACAAACTCCATAAACTACAATAATTCAGATTGTGCAGTTACAAGTTTGTAGTAATGGCCCCTGTAAGCAATTCACAAAACAGCCCACACTGACACAGTGCACTTGAGAATCATCTTATTTTGTTTTAGTAGTACAATTAAGGCAACCATAACTGTCCTGCCAAAATTCAGATGATCGGATTATAGCAAAGACTCTTGACTGCCATCTATTGGTTGTTCAGATGTTGGTAGAGCTGATTATAAAATACACAAGAAAAGAAAAATTCAAAATTCTGCCAGCAGAAATACTAAAGCGGCTGCACCTATAGCAATAGCAGTTATAATGCTTTGCTAAACACTCTCTAAGCAGTTTACAGAGTCAACATGCTCCCTCCAACAATTTGGGTCCTCATTTTACTGACCTCAGAAGGATGGAAGCCTGAGTCAACCTTGAGTCAGTCAAGATCAAACTGCTGGCAGGTGCAGAGTTAGCCTGTAATACTACATTCTAACCACTGCACCACCACAGTTCTACAGCTAGTCTTTTGTCTGATGCTGGGCTGAAAATTTGGAAATACAAGCTCCCATTGCTCCCATAAGCTACCACTAAAATCAACAGGCATGACTTTTTCTACTTTTATTTATGTGCGTTTCTGCAAAAAACAATTGTATCTTGAGTGTCTTGTAAATGCCCATCAAATCTAGAGAATTTCAAATTAAATGTCATTTTCTTTGGATGTAATCGCTTTATTAGAATAGAATAGAATAGAATAGAATAGAATAGAATAGAATAGAATAGAATAGAATTCTTTAATGGCCAAGTGTGATTGGACACACAAGGAATTTCTCTTTGGTGCATATGTTCTCAGTGTCCATAAAAAGACAAGATACATTCATCAAGAATCATAAGGTACAACACTTAATGATAGTCATAAGGTACAAATAAGCAATCAAATCATACTAGGAAACAATCAATATCAATATAAATCGTAAGGATACAATCAACAAAGTTACAGTCATGCAGTCATAAGTGGGAGGAGATGGGTGATAGGAATGATGAGAAGACTCATAGTAATACAGTAGTAATGCAGACCTAGTGAATAGTTCGACAGTGTTGAGGGAATTATTTGTTTAGCAGAGTGATGGTCTTCAGGAAAACACTGTTCTTGTGTCTAGTTGTTTTGGTGTGCAGTGCTCTATAGCATCGTTTTGAGGGTAGGCATTGAAACAGTTTATGTCCAGGATGCAAGGGGTCTGTAAATATTTTCACAGCCCCTCTCTTTGACTCGTGCAGTATACAGGTCCTCCATGGAAGGCAGGTTGGTGGTAATTGTTTTTTCTGCCGTTCTAATTATCCTCTGAAGTCTGTGTCTGTCTTGTCTGTCTTTGTGTGTGTCTTGTCTGTGTATGTCTTCAATATCCCTGAATCAAGCTGTATCAAAAATCAAGGTACATCATTTGCATTGTAATTCTATAGGTGTCTACCTGGGACTGAGTTTCACTGGATTCACAACAGAGTGTAGGAGGTGGCAAACTTGTGCTGTATCAGTCAAGTGTATTATTAGAGATAGAGAGTAGAATATAAAAGAAAAATGACAAGACAATAGGTTTATTTAAAGTATAAATGAAATGCAATTACTTTGTTATAGATCATCAGGCTCCAGAGCCTTTTTTTAACTAACTTTATTTTTCTGTATGGCAATTGAAATATTGAAAGGCATTTAATACGTGCCAGAGAAAAAAAAAATCTATGGCAACATTCATCATTCTGTCAATCCTCCCCCCCATCCCCTGAAATAAAATAAAATATCTTTCAAAATGGGGCTAGTCTATTTGTGACAAAAATCACTCCTTGTATTCATGGAGATGCATTTGTTGTCTTCAGAATGGGGTCTGAATGCCTTTCTTCATTTGTGAAGGTCTATGCTTGGCTGTTGGTGGAAAGCAGTTGACCTAATCCACGAACATAGCTTTCTACATGGATTTGTCTGATACTGAGTTTTACCGTACTGGGATCTGTTGAGGATGTAAGTTTCCCCTGGTGGAGATGAAATGAAATGTGTTCTTTTGCAACCATTGTGTTGCTCCCCACGAACCAGCTCACAAACTGCAGCCTGGGAGACAAAAATATATCTGTGTTAATGAATGCATTCTTCCTGGTTCGTGGGAAGAAAGCAACTGTCTTTCTGTGCAAAGTCTTACTTGGCTCAGTGAAACAAATTGTGATAGAAATCTCAGAAGTGAATGAAGGTGCAAATACCATCAATGGGAATTGGTCCTCCCTTTTTGCTCCCATTTTCTCCATGCTATTTTGTGTCATGCCCCAGCATATAACTTTTATATACTGTTGTTGCTTTCTAGCCCCATCTAGTGGTCGGAGGAACAAATATGCCCCAACATACAATCCTTATATACTGTTGTTGCTCTCTAGCCCCATCTAGTGGTCAGAGAGACAAATACCAAGTATATTGTTTGAAGCTGACCCAACCTCTTTACCCATCAGCCCACACTCTCAAAACAAGTACATGTAGGGAAGCAACACTCCATTTCCTTTAGTGTTTGGAGAAGGCAGAAACACAAAGAATCCATCTTAATCTGTAGCACATAGTCATCCAAGGACAAACCCACATCCCACACACAGAGCATTGCTGGTGAGATTTAAATTGCTTGTATTTATTAATTGTTATGTTCAGCGGTAACTCAATACTGCCTATCTTGTATTTAGTTCTCATTGTATGTATTCCTATTTTCCCCAGTTTCACCATATCCTGTTCTTTCAATAAAGTATCCAAATTTAAGCACAGGGTCTGTTTTATTGGAGGATAGGTGGGCTTAGCTGCATGTTGAGCTGCACACAGACTAACATGTAGTGAGGACAGCACACACTGTTAATTCATAAGCTCAGTTTTCCAAGCCCAATGGAAGCCCCATGCCATTGTAGGAACCAAGCAGTGGTATTGATTCTCATGGGAATCAAAGTAAATTTTATTAACTTAGAACTTTAGGAAACTAACAATGGGTTGGTTCCAGATTTAATCATAATAGATCCAGTGAAATCAAATTGGTCATTAATGACCCTACATTTTTCAGGGGATCTAATCTAATTCATCCTGACATGCTAGTACTAAATCATGTGGTTAGTGCTGAATTTTATTGTGGCTATAGTATGGGCTATGAAGCATGCAACTCATTAACCTTAGTCTTAATCTGCCCTACCCATTTAAAACAAACCCATTTAAACTTTCCTTTAATTAATCTGTTAATTAACAGAGACTGAATCTGTTCTAACCATGCCTAAGAACTATAGCATCAATCAGATGGATCGCATTCTCAAGTGCCACTATTGCTTGATATAGAAAGTGGGTCTAATCTTACGGGTGTTATTTCCCAAAGGTTGGAATTCTTATTGGCTTTATAATTAGGGAGCTAATAGTGCAAAGATATAAATGGATGCAGTTATGACCAAATGGAAAAATGTCAAAAGGAAAAATATGTTCAGAAGGATGTTTTAATCAGGCAGGATTTTTTCTCAGAATAGACACTTAAACTGCCATTTTTCAACAGCTTGTTGGCTCTGTAGGATATCAATAAAATAAAGATAAAACTAAATCATACAATTATGAAAAGCTGTAAAGAATGACTGCAGATTGTAATGAAAACCAAGAGTGAATCTGTAATCCAACTAACTACAAGCTCATAATTACATGTAGCAGCAATAAAATGTCATATATTTATTGTGAAAAAACCCAAACAAAACATGGATAATGCAAATACCTCAAGAAAATAACCACATCTGGCTATTTTTAAAAAAATCTTGGTCTAACAATTGCCTCCAAAGATATTTTGCTAAGCTCCTAAGCAGAGTACTGTATTATGAACTCAGAAAGAGACTTCCAAAATGTCTTAGCTCATTTTCCCCAGACATTTTATTGTAAGATGACCTTATAGGTTTCTTTCAGATTACTTTAAATTTATTTTTATTTATATAGGTGAGAAAAATATGACAAATGTTGAGAAGTAGTAGGTAACATATGTCTCACCTTTTGTTGGGAGGACCCAAATTAGTAAGGATGAGAAAAATACTTATACATTACAGCAGATAAAAGCAGCATCATGCCCACACAGTGTGTGCTGCACCCCTTTTAGACCTGCATGTGACATTACTAGGCATGTACAAAGAAAGTATGCTGCTTTTATCAGAATGATAGCTTGGGTTTGGGTAACAATTAAAATGGGTATGCAAACACAGATGCCTCTTATTTGCTCCTGGAAAACCCAAACATCAATTCTGAAGTTGGGAAGGGGAACTTTTCTTACACCTCTACTCAAAACAGTTCACATTTTGTAGGGTCCTAGTCAGAGGTGGTATTCAGCTGGTTCGCACCAGTTCAGGTGAACCAGTAATGGTTGTTGTGGTCCACCAGCAGCCTGCAGAGCTGGCAGTGGAGTCAGACAGTGAGGAGACTGGGGAGGACAATGGGCCAGTCTTGGAGTCTGGGGAAGGCCCGGACAAGGGCTCTGGGTCAGAGGCAGAGATAGAGGGCCATCTGGGAGTGATGCGTGGACTTCGGAGCCTCCAGAGTCAGACAGCAGAGAGGCAGAGGAACAGGGGGAGCCTGTTCCTAGTGCACGCATGTGCAGAGCTGCCAGAAGGCAAAAGCAGCTAAAGCAAAAGGGACAACTCAGGAGTAAGGCCAGAAGCTGATTGGCCCCTCCCATAAGGCTTAAAAGAGTAGCAAAGGCTGTTGAGCTCTTTGTAGGAAAGCAAAATTGCTAAATCTGTTTCCAGTTGGCATCTCTTGTTTCTGAACTTCATGGGGCTTTGCCAAGAAAGGCCTTTGGCAGGGTGCCAAAGAAGATATAGGTTTGTTATAAGCCGAAGGACTAATTCTGAAATACTTGCAATTAATTTGGATTAAGCTGGGAATGAAGTAATTATTATTATAATAAAATAGGTTTGTTTGGGACTAATGTGTCTGGTAATGACTTAGTGAGACTAGGTCACAACAGTTGCAATCACGGGTGGGCCCGCCCCTGCTCCCCCTCCCCCGCCCCGGCTCCAAGTCATGCTATTTAGGCACATTTTCGAGGCTGGGCGCATGCACGGAAGGCGCAGAAGCGACCAAAGTACTTGGGTGGAAAGCTAGGTACATGCATGGACAGCGCACACATGAAGCGAGTGTGCGGGCACATGGCAAACTAGTGATAAAGGTAAGTGAAACCCATCCCTGGTCCTGGTGCTCTCTGAGCTTCGTTTTTCTCTTGCGGACATTTCACTACCTAACTAGATAACTTCATCAGTGCCAGCAGGGAGTGAGGTTTGCTTCTACTCTCTTCGAGCACTGATGATGTTACCTAGTTTGGGTAATGAGATATCTGCAAGTAAACAACCAAACCAAGAACCCCACAGTTCAACGCTGAGCTACAAATATTCCCTTCTACTAGCTCACATTTCCTTATGCACTGAACACCTCAGAAGGGCCATTTTGAAGTGGAAATGTTTTATGTTTCATTGATTGATTTTGCACATCCCTCAATTTAGGATTGCAGAAGCCTGCATGCCAAATAAAGATGTCTTTGTTTTGCAAATTCTGCTTTGGTTTACTTTTCAAAGTAGGGTTTAGAACTCTGAAAGGTGAGTTCACACTGAAGTTAAATTTACCTAGTGTATGCATGACAAACAGAACAGCTGGCATTCCAGTTTGCCTGCTCTGGCTTTTTGCACCTATAACTTGACGACAAAGAGCATAGAATTTATTTATTTATTTATTTATTTATTTGTTTGTTTGTTTGTTTGTTTGTTTGTTTGTTTATTCAAGCACGTATAAGATAACAGATATAAGTATAAACATGATTATGAATGCAGGAAATGGATATAAATAAATGGGGACAGTAGGACAAGGACAGTAGGCATGTTGCTGCGCTTATGCATGCCCCTTATAGACCTCTTAGGAATGGGGTGAGGTCGACAGTATAAAGTTAAAGTTATGGGGGTTTGGGGAAGAAGCCACAGAGTCAGGTAGTGTATTCCAGGCATTGATCACTCTGTTGCTGAAGTTGTATTTTCTGCAATCGAGTTTGGAGCGGTTTACTTTAAGTTTGTATCTATTTTAATAATTAAAAAGATATTTGATTGTGCCGAGATGGACAAAATGACACTTGAATTGAAAGGATTGACGGATTTTTATGTAATTAATATGGGAGAAATGGTATAATTGGATCAAAAATAGAAAAAAAGGAAAATAATAGAATGTACTGTAGATTTAGTGAAAATATATCGAGTATAGGTGAATACTAGTATGATGATATGTAAATGGTCACAGTCATGCACAAGAGTTGAATAATGATTGTTTAATTGTAAAAATTCAATAAAACATTTCTTTAAAAAAGTTTGTATCTATTGTGTGCTTGTGTATTATTGCAGTTGAAGCTGAAGTAGTTATTTACATGTAGGACGTTGTAGCAGATAATTTTGTGTACTACGCTTAGGTTGAGACAGACAGCATCTTGTTGGAAAGTCTTACTCTACATACCTCTCTGTAACCTCCCTCCTGTAGGTTAAATTGATATTCTCAGAGCTGTCATCACTTCTTTCCTCTTTGAGTTCACTTGTTTTCTGCGTCTGGCTGAAATAGTTCATGTTCTCACTTGTCTCCTTAATGCAGGAAAGCCCAGTGCAGCCTCTTAACTGTAGAATGATGTAAGTAACTCAGCCTCTTTTTTTTTTTCCAAAATCACTATATCATTTCCTAATTAACTTTATTTTATTCTCTTATGGAACCCTCAGTCTCAGGCATTCTTCCTGATAAAGTCTTAACCCTAACCCTTTGTAATTTTCTCTGTCCACGTGTTCTTACCCCTGGGTTAAGCTTTCTGCTGTCCAACAAAATCCATCTTTTTTTACTGTTTACTATTTGTTTTTCCAAAGAAGCCTTTTAGTGGTTTCTTTAAAAATGCTTGAAGGGGCTCGTTGTGGTCCCTGCATCCTCAGCAGTCAGTTATATTGATGAAAGTGTTCATAAGCAAACAAGATGCTGGACAACCTTCTTGATTTGTGTGTGTGTTATGTCTGTATTAGTCACTGAGTTAGATCCCTGTGCCAATGGTCGCCAGAAGTCATCATGTTTCTGCAGAATTACTGCTCCTAATCCAGACTGTGATGTACCCAGTGAAATTTTGATGAGCTACCTGGAGCATAAAACTCGAATATAGGTGCTTATACTTGACAGCAACTCATGATTTTTCCCCTTACAGAACTGCATTTGTGGACAGGGCTGGCATCATTTCTCCAAGAAGTTTATTGTGGCCTGAAAGTAACTTTTTCGGTTGACTTTCTTGCATCGCTACAGGAGACTATGATTTTTCCATTTTTCAGGTTCAACTATTAGAGCAAGCAATTACTGCATGCGGAAAGGACCAAAGTATTTGTGATATTAATTTCATTTATTTATTAAATCAGTTTATAGAGCCACCCCTTTCACACGCAAGGAACTCTGAGTGTTGTACAGCAGAGCTAAAAACAATTAATGGGGCTAAAAATGGTTAATAATTAATTGCAGAAATCCAGGTATTGCGGGTTTCTTTTTTTTAATACTGTGTTAGAAAAATCTGGGCAGCCTCTGAAATATGGAGCATAGGTGATATTTGTATGTCAAAGGCCAATCATTTCTTCTCCCTAAGGATCTTAACAAGCCTCACTTCTTCAAAGCTGCTATTTGAACTTCAAGGAAGGCTCCCACAGATACCAACAGGCACTTCCCCTGAACTGCAAATAGCAATTTTAGGGAAATAGTCAATGCAGGGCTCAGAGAAATGATACATAGAGACTCACCCTCTTATTCCATACACTTCCAAAACTAGTCATAAAAAAAGCTAGCATCCATGGAACACTACACTCTATTAAATTCTAACCTTCTTTCCAAAACCTTCAACTTTACAATTTAATGAGCCCTGAATATAATTCCTTATTTAAATCCAAATTCCTTCTTTGTGGAGTAAATTTATTTCAATCAAGGGGTTTTCTCTAAGAACGTCTAAGCCTGGAACCCTCCCAATATGTCCACATGAATCTCACTGCATTCGTACATTGTGCCTTTGTAACATATTTCATAAATGGAAACTACTTATTCAAACAATATGTTGGATGGAATCCAAAGAGTATGAAAACCTCTCCTCTAAAGAAAGAACTCCACAAACAGTCAATTATTCACAGTACGATTATCACTGAAAGCAATTTTCCATTTTAACTTTCAATAAAATTGATTTTTTTAAAAAAATATAATTCTCTTGCCATCCAGCATGTGAACATATTAAAATGCCTTACTTTGCTATGATGAAATTAAATGTCCTGACATTGCAGTATTACTTTTTAATTAATTAAAAGAAATAAACCTTATTATAACAGTTGTCTCAAAAAAAAAAAAGAGGTAAATTTACACTTGCCACCACCACCAATTATAGAATCTACTGAATAGCAAATGTTGTTTTCTAGTTATTCCTTAGCTTCTATCTGGGAATAGATTTGGGATCAGAAGAGCAAAGTTTTGTCTCAGACCTATATCTGGAGCTGTACCTCTCTCCTCAGAACCCAACAATATTCGCTGATATCAAATAATAACCTCCAAATTTGGACCCGATAGCTGCAGGGGTAAGTGAAACTGAGGAAAAAAACTCTTTTAAACAAAACAGTAATCCCTGATTTTGTATCTAGAATCATGAAAAAAGTATAATGTTGTTGTTCATGCTTCCTTTTTCATTTTTATGGTTTAAATATGAGAGAGAGGGGGGGAGAAAATACACATCAGAAAGAAAGAAAGAAAGAAAGAAAGAAAGAAAGAAAGAAAGAAAGAAAGAAAGAAAGAAAGAAAGAAAGAAAGAAAGAAAGAAAGGAAAAAGAGAAACATATAGTATCAGATGTACAGAAAACTGCTCACTTGTAATCAAAATTTTAAACTTTCTCTCTCTCTCTCTCTCTCTCTCTCACACACACACACACACACACATACACACTTTCACATACACACACAATTAATCAAACGTTATAGGCCTAAAGCTGCATTACTTTCCATCCTAAGAAAATATGTTTTTGTTACACCCTTGCTTGATAAATCCAATGTCCTTCATATAGTGACAATTTCCAAAATTTCAGTACTCAGTCCATCATCTCCTAAATCCTATTCATATTCTCATAATCATACCGCATTAATAAACATACAGAAATTAAAATAAAAATGAGTGCGTATTATATGTAAAATGTCCTTCAGGCTCCCTTTCTGAATGTGGCTTTCTTAAATCAATATTTCTAACACAATGTCAAGCTATTGTTTGTTTTTTATTAGGGAGAAAAAAATCACCTGCTTTCAATTTTGCCACAATTCCTAGTTCTTTCCTATCTAAGAGTGACATTAAAAATAAATAAACCAGTGATTATTCAGTTCTCATCTTACACAACTGCTTGTCTTCTTTTCTAGCATTTCAGTGATGGAGTACTTTTTATTCCATCTTTAAGTTAAACTCCAACCATTAAAAATAGTATTAAAAAAACTTTCAGAAAGAGAAGAATCAGTTCTATAGATAGAACTTTTTGAACATCCTTCACAATCTCACTTTTTTTTTTTTTTTTGCTTAGGCATTTTACACCTGCATCTTGTTGGCAGAACATTTAGTGATGATGACAATGTGAAAAATTTCCTTAACACAGAGGTAGCCTTGCACTTTTAAGCACTCACAGAGATGATTGCTAAAATAGATGTTCTGAATTCTTGCCATTTCTTACTCCAGATCAGTCAGATGCCGTTGGCCAACATAAATTAGTAGAGCTGGACTGATGGTGAGGGAGGGTCACTTCCACTGCATCTTAGATACATTGACTATTGAGGAGCAGCTTGTAGTGGATGACCTGATTAATCGTGATGAAATGGAGACATTTTTGTGAGGTCAGTGTTGTCTGCAGAGGAGGCAAATGGGGTGCAAACTGATATTGTCAGCAGCATTATGACATCACAATGCAAGACCCACCTGTTTTCTACAGAACCAGTGGTGGGTTGCTCCCACTGTGTGGTGGGTTGTCCGGTTCTTGAGAACTGGTAGTAAAAGTGGCGGGAGGCTCCGCCCACCTGCCCGGATGTCATAAGGTACAATCTGTGCATGCGCAGAAGCATCATTACTTACTGAGACATTGAAGAAGTCACGTGCTTTGTAAAACCTAGGGCCCTACATCTATAGCTCCAATTGCCTAAAATGGTGGATCTGCCCCAGGTCCAGGAGGTACAGGGTCTTGAGAGAGTTAAAAGTAAAAATGGTGGCCTCAGCTGCATGATCAAAGACCTGCTCTTTTTCTATGTGTGACAGATGAAAAACGGATGTAGGTTTTGATCACTCATGTATGGTCACCATCTTGATTTTTTATTTTTTTATTTTTTTATTGAAAAGTTTTACAAAAAGTTTACATATTTCCCCCCACTTCCCTACCTCAACCTCCCCCTCCCCCCTCCCCTTCCCAGAACAAATTACAGGGTATAAACTTCAACAATCATAATCAATCCTAGTCTAAACAATTATGACATTCCACATCTCTTGTTTCTTCAATTCCCTAATTACCCGCCTAGCTTTATTACTTAAAGACACACTAAATATCTATATAATCATTCATAACCTATCTGCAATTTCTTATTCCGATATTTATTTTGAATATAATCTATCCATCTTCTCCAGTCTCTTAAATATCTTTCATTTGAATGATCCTTCAGGTACGCCGAGATTTTTGCCATTTCCGCTAGATTTATAACTTTCATTGTCCACTCTTGGATTGTAGGTAAATCTTGCTTCTTCCAATATTGTGCCACCAACAGTCTTGCTGCAGTTATTAAATTCAAAATCAATTTAGTCTCTATAACTGTACAATCCGTAACTATACCCAAAAGAAACAGCTGTGGTGTAAATTTCAACCTCTTTTTAAGAATATTTTGTAAAATCCACCAGATTTTAATCCAAAACGCTTTAACCTTTTTACATGTCCACCAAATGTGAAAATAAGTAGCATCCTCACAATTACATCTCCAACATTTTGGTTGTACATTCGGATACATACGAGATAACTTTTTTGGATCTAGATGCCATCTATAAAACATTTTATAGAAGTTCTCCCTTAAATTTTGCGCTTTGGTAAATTTCACATTTGTTACCCATATTTTCTCCCACGTTTCCATCATTATTGGCTGTTCAAAATTCTGCGCCCATTTTATCATACAGTCCTTAACTAGCTCTGTTTCCGAGTCCATCTCTATCAATATATTATACAATCTTTTTATATGCATTGGGCTTTGATCTCTAATTTGTTTAATTAAATTTTCATCACTTTGTATAACATGGTGTTATACCATCTTGATTTTTTAAACCTCCTCCTCCCACATGGATAACCCTTCCCTTTAATGCAACAGACTATGAACCTCCTCAAAGTGCAAATACCTCACAATATCATCACAAAAGCAGGCATGGAGGTAGAGAAGTATATTGAAATAACATATTATCAAGGTAAAGGAATGGGGTGGGATGTGGCTAATCATGAATAAGATAAGTGTCCACATGTCAGGATCTCATCTGTTCTTCCATTTCTTTTGATTTCAAGAAAAGTAAAATATAGGATTTTAAAATAAATAAATTTCTGTGAAATGAAGTTTATAAGATAGCTAAATAGTCAATTCTGTAACTAATTTACGCACAGCCTACAATTTCTTCATTCTGTGCTAATAAAAAAGGAAACTAGTTTAATGGATTTCAGGAAAATATTCTTATGCAGAAAAATTAAGAAACTATTTTTTTTAAAAAAAATTATATGTTGTTCAACCTCTCATTTCTTTTTATTGTTATTTCATTTAGAGAAGTAACTGAGCAATTCATAATGCTCCTTACGCCTCCTGCTTAAAAGAGAAAAAACAGATTTCTTTTTTAAAAAAAACAGCATGTTCCATATAAATATTTTGAAAGAAACCAAGTAAAGAAATAAGACATGCTCAACAGGCCCTCCTTAATCTCTTGATCATGGTATCTTGGACCAAGGTTCTTCCCCAAGATATTGACCAGAAGTGTTGGGTGAACCCATCTTAATGTTGTGTTGAATGTTTTTGAGTCTTTCCTAAGTTGTTTGTGTTTGTTTTTTTTAAAAAAAAAGTCTTTTAAAATTATGCATATTTATTCTTAATTATTATTATCTCATAGAATCACATATTAAATGGGCCATCCATTAATTAATCAACAACTTAATTAATTAACTGATGAGGTGAGTCTTTGATTCTCATGGTCCTCCACCCTTGGCAGACAGGAGTTTGAATCAAATGATTGGTTATGTAAAATGATTGTTGAACTTCATGTGGGTTAATAGGACCTGGATTATTGTTTTATCCCTAAAATATTTCAGTTGAATAAATTATATACACTGCCACTGCTTGCTTTCAAGAACTGCAGAACCATCCTGAGAAATCTTATACCTTGGAACAGGGGTCCCCAATCCGTGGGCCACAGTCCAGTACCAAGGCGTGGCCCATTCAGAGCCAGGCCACACAAGCAGTGGGAGTGTGTGCTTGTGCACGAAGCTCCATTTGTGTGAGTGGTTGACATGCTCGCTCGCCACTCACATAAATGGAACTATACACATAAAAGCAAGAAATCCTTCTATATGTATCCTTCCAAAACTGCAACAGCTAGACTTCATGGCTTTTGGCATGCTAGTTCAGAGTGCTAGAATTTGTTGCCCCAAAAGTTTTGGTTGGAAATGGTAACATGCCAATCACAGGACCAAGCCTGCTTTACCACAACTTAAACTTTATCATTTCTGACCCACAACGAAGAAGACACTTCTTTGATGCCTCTTTTTCCAAAATTTGAAGGAGAGTGAGGTGAAGTAAAAAGTTCAATTTCCATCACCCTTCATTTTCTTTTGTAGAGTAAGCAATTTGTCTGAGGTGAGAACCAATTTCTCTAACTCTTCAACCTCCGTAATTTAGTCTTCATTTCTAATGTCAAAATACTGCGTTCTCTTATATAGTAATAAAGCCCACTTACTTTTCTTGTTATAGCCAAGTCTGGATAACACTTGGATATCTTTGTATGGCAGATTCCGCTAATTGTTGGCTGTTCCACTGAAAAGTAGACAGTCATTTTAAGTTAAAATATGCAGGCGCTGTAACTGTAGATGACAGGTTAATTGAACATAAGATGAAAAATGAAATTTAAAAATCAAATACACATAGAACTATTTTGCTATCCAGATCTCTTAGAAGAAGGTGGAGGCAGTATTCAAGAGACAAAATGCTTAGTATCCTACAGACTTGGGAAGGGAGAGCTGACAGTATATTCCGAGCAGACTTTCATAATGATGTAGCCTACTTCTGAAGAAGATTGCCTATGAAGTTTTCAGTTTCAGGGCAATATCTGAAACTGTATGTGGCCAATTTAGAAAGCATTTCACTCATTTTCAATGTCTTTGCTTATCTCCACTGACACCATCACATAGTAAAAATCAGATTGGCAATGTGACATTGGCTAGGATCATTCAAACAGCTTGCCTTCAGAAGTTGTTGGAGCTTCATCACTGGAAGCTTTCAAGAAGAGACTGGATTGCCATCTGTCAGAAATGGTGTAGGGTTTCCTCTTGGGCGAGGGTTGGACTAGATGACCTACAAGCAGGGGTGGGTTCTACTTACCTTTACTACCGGTTTGCATCATGCCCATGTGCACGCTCTTCTGCGCATGCGCAGAAGCTTCTGTGCATGCTCAGATCAACTTTGATGATGTCCGGATCAGTGGGCAGAGCATCCCGCCGGTTTTACTACCGGTTCTTGTGAACCGGTCTGAACCGGGGGCAACCCACCACTGCGTACAAGATTCCTTCCAACTCTGTTATTCTGGACAAATCGTCCAGGAATAACAGGCAGCAACCAGAAGGATCACAGGGCAAAAGCTGAAACAGTTAAGAAAACAATGATATGCAATAATAAATTATTAGTTACTAAATCTATGTGAAAGTTCTCCTATTGCATTCTTGGCTCTGTTTCAGAGGTGGGTTTCAGCAAGTTCTGACCAGTTCTCGAGAACCGGTAGCAGAAATTTTGAGGAGTTTGGAGAACCAATAAATACCACCTCTGACTGGTCCCACCCCCATCTATTCTCTGCCTCCCGAGTCCCAGCTGATTGGGAGGAAATGGGGATTTTGCAGTAACCTTCCCCTGGAGTGGGGAGAGAATGGAAATTTTACAGTATCCTTCCCCTGGAGTGGGGTGGGAATGGAGATTTTACAGTATCCTTCCCCAGCCACGCCCACCAAGCCATGTCACGCCCACCAAACCACACCCGCAGAACATGTAGTAAAAAATTTGAAATCCACCACTGCTCTGTTTATTCAGAGGGTCAGTCTTAACCAACATTTCCGTCCAGTGGTGATGTGAACTTCAACACAAAACTTTTTTTTCCTTTTGTAGTCTGCAGGAGTAGCTAAAATTATAGTGAGGTGCTTATTCTCATCACCTTCAGAGTTAAGAGAACTTCTTCACACATATCTCATGAATGGAATCAACATAATCGTGATCTCAAGTCTAAAGGAAGTGACAGAACAGCTGTGAACACACTTGAGTTGACAAAGTTTTGAAAGGCTAGGCATAATTAAAACAGAAGTATGGAAATCAGGATTTGGGCAGGGGAAGATGATGAAGCTGAATTGCTGTGACTGAACAATTCACTGCAGAAATAGAGTTAAGAACAAGGGGGTGCTAAAAAAAATACTGAGTTGGCTTGCAGATGTGTCTTATGATAGCTGTTTTCTGAATCTGCTTTATTATTTGAAAATTTAGGCAAAAATTGGTAAACCATTTGACTCAAAGTAAGTTAGTAACTAATGTATGTGTGAAAAAAATGTTTAGGGCTAGTATTTTATTGTATTTATTCATTCAATTTCTATAGCCCACCTATCTCAAACAAGCAACTCTGGGCAGCAAATAATCAATATGCTTAATGGCTAAATATTTGGTCTGGAAATAACAATTGAAATACATTTTTACTGTTCATCTTAATGTCAGCACTGATTTTTTTTTATTTAAGTAAGTATAATAAAAATGTGATCAAATTAATAGTTCTTGCATCTTTAAAAAATAGATAGCTGCAATACCTTAATTGAAAACCTCTACATCGGTTTGATTACTTCATGTCCTGTTATCACTGAGGTTTATAATGAAAATTGGGATAAGATTACAGAACACAAGCTTGGGGGTGATATATGGTCTGCACACTGTTTTGGGGCCTACGGAGTCATAAATAGGTACCGTAGTCATAAATACTATAATAACAACATACATACATACATACATACATACATACATACAT